GAAGGGGGCTGAGCACAGGCCGTTTGTGCCTTTTTCCTCTGCTGTTGCATTGTGTTTCCTGGAAGCCTTTTGCACAAGATACAAACAGGATTGTTCAACTGCTCAAAAGAAGTTTTTCCATTGCACAACTGTTCCCTGCATCTGCACCTGGGGCTGAGGGACAAGGCAGGAGGAGATGATCCAGGGCATCGTCCCCCAAGCAGGCTGGAGGCAGCAGTGCTGCTCGCTCGTGGCTGTGCTTCACCAGGAGAAACCATCGTGGTGACCATGCTGTGTTCCCTGCTGGGGTCCGTTACGTGGGTTTCCCTCGGTACCCTGCTTCCATGTGGGCCCACAAACCAAACCTACAGCACGATCCAGATCAGCAACAGCCCAGAGCATGGGGCTCTCCGTGACTTGCCAGGGATGATCCTCTGAGGTTTTCCCAGAGGAAACCTGCCCCAGCCCCAAACCCTCCTGGCTCCTGCCCTGCTGGTGGTGTAAGCTAGCGTGGGGAAAGCAGCTTTGGCTCAGCCAAGGGTGAGCTTTCCCAAGCTCTGGGGGGAGGGTGGGGTGTCACCTGAACCCCAGCATCTTCTCTGGGTGCCCGCTGCCATGCAGGAAGCAGGTTGGTGCTGGAAGAAAGTGTGTGGCCTCCCTGGGGTAGGAGCATCGGCTCCAATGAAGCCCCAGTGTTGGCCAAAGATCCCTGGCGTGACTGGGCCCTAACTCTTGACGGCTGTCGGGGTAAGGGGCTGTAGTCCTTGCTCAGGGGGCAAAGAGCTGGCCAGCCTTCAGGCCTCCATCTTCTCCCTCACAAGGAGATTGTACCCCCCCTCTGGGCAAAGCTGTTTTCTTTAGGTGCTCTTGGGCAATGGGAAATTACTCCATTTCCCACCAGTGGGGTCAATGTCCCCCTCCACTTGTTTAACAGGTTCCTGGAGCCTTCCCTTGGGATTTCTGGGGCTGGCAGGAGCCCAGGCTGTGCTGGAAACGGGCGCTGGGAATGTCCTGGGAGGGGAAGGCACCCCGCAGCCAAACACCCTGTGCTCCTGCAAAGGGCAGGCCAGGGCAACCCCTGATTTCGCAACGGGGCAGGGCAAGGAGCAGCAAAAGCCCAGGCATTGCCCCTACCATGAGCCCCCGCCACTGCTCTGGCCCAGCCCCTGGAGCCCCCTCTTTCCATCCAGGCCATGGTGGGCATCTCACCATGGCTTTCCCTGCTCACACTTCCCTTCTCGTGCCACCATGTGCCACGTTAACTGGACCTAACTTACTGGATATCTGTTAATTATTGTCCAGTTGCCTTAATGATTCTGTGGCTGTATTTAGCTCTTTGTAAAGTCATTGATTAAATAACCATGAGAGGATTTAGCCAGCCCAGATAGACTTTCTGTGCCATCCACTAACAGTTTAGCGCCTTCAATGAGAAATAGAAGCACTGGATTAATTTTTAAGCAATCCTTTGGTGTTCAGCTGCTGCCAGGGCTGGAGAGGACAGTGCTGTGCTCCTGGCTGGTGCCGGGATGTGGCCGAGGTGGTGCTTGGGGCTGAACCTCCAAAAGAGGAGAAAACACCAAGGAGCAAGGCTTTGATTCAGCTGCAGAGAAGCTGGGGGGGCAGGGGGGCAGAAATCCATCTGAAGGACTTCTGATAGTGCTTTATCCGTAGCAGGTCCCTCAGGGAACCGTCTAACATCTGCTTCTATCGCAA